GCCTTCCAGCTTTGTAACAGGAACATGCGTGGATACTGCCTGCGGAGCACCTCCAGTTCATTAACACATCAAAAGAGATAGATACAGGAGACTGTCACAATTCGTGTCGATGATTTTTTTTAATATAAATCTTTATTGGCTGTTCATTATGTGCAAATTTTATTTATTTGCAGGGATCTCTGGTCTTTCTTCCTTCCCTCCTCCCACCTTTCTTCTGCCTCATATAATAGAGCACCTGCCGAGTTCTAGGTACTGTACTAGGTATTCATGCCACAAACATGAATACAAGACCCCCCCTAAGAAAAAAATCTGTAACCAATACACTAATGAAATATCACCACTTTAAGTCAAATTCTGTAACTTACAACTCCTATTAAAAGGAAGCTTTGGTCCTATAGAAGAACTGGGAAGGAACTGACCCATCTCCCGGGGCCATGCTGGGCACTCAGCAGACGTTGGTTGAGCGATTGAGCCAGGAGCCATCAGAATTGGGGATGCCATTGGATATCATTCTTGTTTAAGATCCCCTTCTGTGGTCTTGCAATTCTGACCACGTATCCATTTTATCACACTGAGATTCTTGACCTGGGTTAGTCTTTGGCCATCTCACTTGCTGCCACTGGATACCTAGGAACATAATTAAACACCAAGTGGCATTTGTCGGTCTGTCTGTATCATACAGAAGTCTGGTCATAGAGTATTCTCTCACTTCCATCCCGTTAGTGATCCTGACACCTCTGGAAGCCACACCTTTAGGAGGTGAGTCAGAGTAAACCAAACTGACCAATCCTTAGTTGTCAGACCGCTGTCACTGTATGTCCCTCGCTCTCCGCCCCGGCTCTGGCAGCAGATTGACCTGCATCTAGCCGATCATGGCAAGTCGCTTTACTTCTCTGGGCCTCTTGTCCTCATCTGTAAAGGGCAAATAATAATACCTAACTAAAGAGTTATTCTGAGAGCTAAGTGAATGAATGCAAAGCTAGCTTTACTAGCCGACATATGGTAATTGTTACTCTGTTTACAGAAAATGATAGATGTTTTATAACACATCCACTTCTGAGTCAGCGCAAGCTGGCTGATGTGGAAAGCCCCCAGCTTCCCCTCCTTTGTTCCAATACAAACCTGCCTCTGGTTCTTCCTGTCCTGTGAGGACACTCACACAAACAACTTTCCCCTTACCTTTTAACTTTAACCGTCAAATATTCTCATTCTCTTTCACCTGGTTTTAGAAAAAGGAAACTTCCTTGCACTAAAAGATGGCGTAAGTATGTTCTCTTTCCCATTGCAGCCACTTGATAAATACTGATTTTGTCTAAATTTCTCGCTTACATTCTTTCTTTTTTTTTTTTTTTTGCATCCAGCCAAAGCCCATTATGCATGCAGTGGCCCTAACCATCCATACCTCAGTTTTCTGTTAGGGATTAGACCTTGTTTATATAGACCACTGGCATCAAGATTGCTTAAAATAAGACCAGTGCCCAATAAATATTTCTCCCCTGTTCATTGCTTTGTTGTTCATTCGTTCTTTTTTCATCTAGCATTTGTTGACTGCCTACCATGTGCCACACACTAGGGATACGAAAAAGATAAAAATGGACTTCATCCTTGACTAATATTAGTAGCATGCCAATAGGCTGTAATGATATTGCACTATAACCAAGCATATTATACATAACCACTTTCAGATTAAAATCAAAACCCAGTGTGACTCCTTCAAAAAATACATGGAAGGTATAGGACAAAATATTCTTTTATGTGAACATACCGTAGCTCTGCTACTTTAACTGTAACAAATAACATTCTTATAACACTGCTCAGCAAAGTAATGTATCAAAGGCATACAGAGAATTTAAATTATCCCTGACTCATTTTCCCATATTTAGAATAAAGAAAAGAAATATGGTAGAAGATGTTTTAAGTACGATAGCTACAAAAGTTAAAACTAAAATCATTTAGGTATGCTGTTAGTAACCTAATACTTTGTTGGTATAAGCTGTTAATAACATTACTTTTTAACCAAATAGACGTGCTACACTTCAGTGTACTATATGAGCTATATGTAGTAAATGACATCTGTATGAATTAAATGCCATCCATCTTTTGGCATCTTATTTTCTACATCTTTAAATCAAGTGGATTTGACTGGATTATTTTTAACTTCTCTTCCAGTTTTAACATTCTGTAATTCTAGGAAGTAAAAATGCTTTTATTTAGAAGCTGATGCAGGCACAGAAAATTAATGGTAGCCAGAAGAAAAAGCCTTCCTACTTTTCATGAAATACATATATCTGAATCAAGCATCTAAAGAAGGTTGCAGCAACAAATACAAAGAGGCGGGCTCCATGCTTTCATTTCATTATAACTCAGAACTAAAGTAATAACTAAAGCCCAGAGTCAAGATTGGGACAAGCATTTGTAATGTTGCATTTCTTTATTTAATCATCTCAGGACCTTCATGGTGTTCTTAACTGACGGGTTAGTGGGAATTGCCAGTGTGTCCAGGAGTGCAGGGGGCTGCAGCAGAGAAGGGACACAATCACATTGGGTTCCAAATGCAGTTACATGGTACTCACTTAGCCTGAAGGACCAATACAGTTGTGTCATATTTTGGCCCTGGGAGCAAATAGCACTTTTTCTCCAGAGTAAACAGTTTACTATGTAGCTGCTATCAACCAGCTGTGACGCACAGATGCTGGACTTTGCCATTATTTATCACTTTCTCTTCAATGGTAATTCTCCCCGATAGATTAGAAAGCATCTTTAGATCGCAGTAAAGTCATAATGCTGAAAAATTATGAGCATAAGGCCACCATTCTTTCTTTCATGCTGCCTCAAGTGATGTACTAAAGCTTTTCAGACAAACTTATAAACCCCCACCCACCTATAAATAAGATATTTCTACTTGGTTCTGCTCTTTATGTAAAGGTTTGCCTTGTTGATACATTTATAGTAAGAAAAGTCCATAATTGATACATGGATCTAGGACCACCACCTTATAGTCTTTAATATTCTTTCTTTCTGAGCCAGAAGATGGTATTTTGACATGTTTAGTAAGTGCCAGTATTTTCGAAGATTTTAAATACTAGCAGAATAAGTTTTTCCATCTTGTTATTTTTCTCTGAATATGGCAGCCTTGAGAGTGGAGGAGTAAATAGCAAGAACATTGATCGATTTGTTCATTCAGCAAATGTTTATTGAACATTCACTCCATGCTAAACACCATGATGTAACCTAGGCTGTATAAAGAAAGAAAATAAGGCCCTACCCCAGAGCCCCCTTCTGATAGGAAAGAGGACGGAGACAGGCCCGGTCCACAGTGTTGTGACTTAAAAATTCATGGAATAGAGAAATGGGTTTACAACTTCGATTTCAGTGTCAGAGAAAGAAAGGTGGCTGTGAATGTCTTCTCCCTCCTTCATCATCCCTTAATGATGGAAAGAGAGGAAAACTGATGACCTTTCAAGTCCTATAATTACAAATTTTTAAATGAGCCATTTAGAATTTCCCTTTTAAAAAGGATGCAAATTAGTAATCAGTTGCTTCGCAGTGTGATACAGACCCACAGGGTTATATTAAATATGTGTAATGAAAGGTTTATGATCAGGACAAAGTAGAAAATTATATCATAAATCACATTTTCCTCTCTAAAAGATAGCAAATTTAATGTTCGTGTATTGCCAGCTAAGATTCACAAAAAGATGCTCTCTTAAAATATTTATGTAAAACCTGAATCCATCTCACCTATTAATTGTAGTTCAAGGTTTAATTTTAGATGATAAGGTTTGTGTGTGGAGGGGGGACCCATGCATTCTGTTTTTCTTAGTATCATATGCATTGTTTAGAATATTTGTGCTTCAAGGGTGTCCAAGTAAAATACAGATTCATTTGTTATTCCAACAAAAACAGCCTCTGCTTCCCACCTTGCCAGCCCATGCAGAGCAGTAATCAAACATTGCTGCACTCTTGCCATCACTGTGTCAACCTCGTTACAATTTGATTGACTTTCAGATTCTGCATTCAGTGCAGACAGGCCTTGAGTTGCTTCAGCACACCACCAAGCCTGCTTTTCTTACCTGAACGCTTGTATTCTGTACATTACCCTGCGAAGTCCTACCTCACACCTTTGAAATCTTTCTAGAAGACTTTTCCGAAGCTGATCTCTCTGGTAGTTCCTTTTGCCCGCCACCATAGCTTCTTCCCCACACCCCTTTTTTTTTAATTCTAAAATAATGTTATAACTGACTAATAGAGGACAGCTAAAACATCATTCCAAATTCTGCTAACAGAGGAGAGTTCAAACATTTCAGATAGTGGATAAACATTAATGTAGACATTTTTGTCACATACGCTTTTTAGTCAGTGAGACTTATCCAAAGATCTGGCTATCTGTCAGTGGTCTGGAAAAAATACGTAAATTGAAATACTGTTTCACTTTATAACATGTTATTAGGCTGTTTCTTTTTAAAGAAAGGGTAAGAAATCCTTTAGACTGCATATAATGTGCAGTATTATAGGATTGTATCTAAAGTTCCTAAGAGAAAACACTGTGTGAACATCGAAGAATGTGTGTTATTATAAGCATTTAGTTGGAGCAAAAGATATAATGTAGTTTGGGGTTTAAGTGTCTCATTCTCACATTTAAACATTAAATGATAATCAGTAGTTTGAGGAACTCATAAGAACAAATTTCATGAAAAAATAGCACTCCGTTTCATCCATACCTCAAATAGTAGTCACCAGCCTGCTCTTTAGCACCAGATTGGAATACACTTCAGAAATCTGTTTTTTGGGGCTTCTTTTCTCGATTAGTACCAAGATGTGGAGTTATGTTGAGATAACCAAGGAATGGTGGCTCCATAATTTTTAACCGTTCCTAATGCTATAGTACAATATAGTAGACAGTATTTACATCTGTGGAAGAGGACCGGAAGATAGTAAGGGCAGGTCTGGAAGTGTCCGTGCGTTCATCAGCACCTCACACTCTCTGCCTCTCTTCGCAGGGGAGGAGCTGTGCTCGGGCCTCAAGCGAGGCTGTACTTTGGACTGCCCCTTTGGTTTCCTGACCGATGCCCACAACTGTGAGATCTGTCAGTGCCGCCTACGGCCCAAGAAGTGCAGACCCATAATCTGTGACAAGTATTGTCCGTTTGGATACCTGTAAGTATTTCTTAATTCAGAAGATCTCTTCTTAATTATCTGTAACTTAATGAAACATCCATACTTATTTTTGTTAACTGTCTCATGTGTATGTGAATGGATCAGTGATGCACTGAATCCAGAATATCTATGCTTGCTTTGTTAAGTGAATCAGAGAGCAGCAAAAGGGGGGTTTTACTCTTAACTCTTTGATGAAGAGGGGCCAGAGCCTCATTCTGCCACTGTCCTTGGGGCCTCTTCTGTGAGGCTTCCTCATAGCAAGGGCCTTTGCACACTGCCAGAGGGAATGGAGTTGTCATGAAATCCCAGTATTGGACATGCCACAACTTTTCACAACTGTCCCAGTCACTATGTGGTGATAATTTATTTAATAATGTATACTTGAAGATCAGTGGACAGCCACTCATTGGCCACGTGGAGCATGCTTATTTGCCATACCTCCCTATCTTCCTTGGTGCTGGTCTGTAGTTTATAACATCTTTTTCTCCATGTAGCAGTATCTTTTATGAATTCCCCTAGAGATAAGAACCATGACTTAGATTTTCAAAAATTCTTTGTTTGAGCCAAACCCCAGGAAAATCTAGATTATCCCAGGGGGAAAAGGCACTTCACATTTGTTTAGTGTCTGTACCAATATCTATTTCTGCCTTTGTATTAAGCTGGTTCCCTAAAAGATTACCTTCCCTAATCTTGCTTTATCATTTTTATTCCTTAAAGATTTATTTATTTATTTTAGAGACAGAGAGAGAGAGAGACGCATGCACGTGGGCAGGGGGAGAGGGAGAGAGAGAAACCTTAAGCAGACTCCCCACTGAATGCAGAGCCTGACGTGGGGCTCCATCTCACAATCCTGAGATCATGACCTGAGCCAAAATCAAGAGTCAGCCACTTAACCGATGGAGCCACCTAGGCGCCCCATCTGCCTTTCCAATTTTTAATATATTTGTGTAGTGCTAGTAATTATAAAGGACTTAGATTTATCATCTCTTTCCTGCCATCTTAAAGTTACCATTTTTAGGGTTCCTCTTAGGAATTCTAGTTTAGCAGGGATAGGGGAATCTTAATTCTAATTTTAGGATAAATTGAGAATGCTCACTATCCTTAAAACGTCCCCAAATTAATAAACGGTCATTGTTCTTAATCCTAAAATAGGACTTTTATACCAGTGAAAGTATAATTCTTAGCCTCACTCCTAATGTACAATAAAGTATTATTATCATAATAGTAACTACAAACACCTGCTGCAGTGTAATGACAGCTCAGAATTGAGGTTCAAGTCCAACCTTCACCTTGGAGAGAAAGCCCTTAGAGGACTGTGGAGTCCATGTCATGTTCCTATCAGTAAGCACATCCACATTCAAGGAGGCCCAAGTAGATCACCGTAGACAAATCAGTACTTTATCAGCTAGAACATGTGGTTTCAAGGGCAGCCTCTGAAGGAGAAATGTTGGCCAGACACCATATGGGAGTATCGGGACGAATGCAGCCTTCCGTGCCCCTTATCCATACCTGCTGAGTGGACTGTTCCTCTCTGTGTGCAGCAAAGGCTTACAGAAGGGGTCGGTGGACAGGTGGATGGATATCTAAATGAATGAACAAACAAATCAGGTAAAGCCTTGATAGAGCTTAAAAATGACATGTTTTCTGGCATGAGTTTGAATAATTCATGTAATTCGTTCTTTTCATCACATTGACATAAATATGTAGACCTCAGCACTCAGTTCTCATTTCACTTAGCAGATTGTGGTTTAATTGTCACTTGGGCAGTGGTATACCAAGGGTTTTCCATAGAGCTGTCTCCTCTCAGAGTCCCTTAATTTATCCAAGATGAAAAAGAACAGGAATTTTTTGTGTATGTTTGTGTTTTAGTTGAACACCACTGTTGCCACTTAGGGCTACTTGGGGTGAAACCTGAGGGTAAATAGGGTAACTCCTCCTTGTCTGAGGCCCAGTAAGCCAACTAGGGCAAAGCCTGCAGAGGAGATGTGGAGCCTAGGAGAAGACTCGGTCCTGCGGCCTGTGGATGGGACACAGAGGGAGCTCCTCTGTACCAGACCGTAACATTCTCCTTTTAGAGAAAATAAGGAATGTTTGTTAAGAATTTTTTTTCCCCAAAAAAATCTTCACTTAAACTACTGTGATGTATTTCATAAACACATATTTATTTATTTAACATCATCTTTCCAATCACAAAATTTAGGCACTCTGGTTTATTAAAGTGCAGCCTTTTTCCTGTATCCCGCATGCTTCTTTATAGCCCGTGTATAGAGCATTGTTCAGTTGATATTCTTTCCTCGCTGGTGAAATCATGAGTGGACCTTGATTGCAGGGCTTCTCAAAGCTTTTATTCTTTATCAATCTTGGTCTGGCCTTCCCAGGTCTGTGGAGTCTTAGGTTCTCCTTCTGTCTGCTCTGAGTTCAGTAAGATGCTCATTAATATTACTACTAGTGGGGCGCCTGGGTGGCTCAATCGGTTAAGTATCTGATTTCAGCTCAGGTCATGATCTTGGGGTCCTGGAACAGAGCCCTGTATCAGGCTTTGCACTCAGTGGGGATCTGCTTGTGCCTCTGCCCCTCCCCGCCCACTCGTGCTCACTCTCTCCCCCCCATAAATATATTTTTCAATTTTTTTAAAAAAATATTTCTACTAGTGTCTGAAATTTCTCAAAGATTGTGGTCATGTGAGAAAGGTTTACCCTGACAAAAGGAGGACTTTTGCCCCAATGCTGGCCTCCAGCATTGACCAACAATATACCCTTTACCATTCCATTCATGGAATTACACATTCATCTTTTTTATATTATGGTACTACTTTTCCTAATTAAAACAACAGTCATGTCATTTGGGGTTCTGACAGTCACATCCCAGAAGCACATTAGTCCTTGGGCAATTCTAAACCTTGGCCATGGGTAAGTGGTGGTCACGGCCACAGGAGAGCTACTTAGACATCACTCCACGAGTTTTTGAGAGTGTAAGTCAAGTTATTCTGCTTAAGAGTAGATCCCTTCAATGACCCTTGGTCTCAGTGCTTGGACATCATTTGAGACTTTTGGATTTTCTGACCTCTGACAAAATTTTAATTACCCAGGAAGAATAAGCACAGCTGTGACATCTGTCGCTGCAAGAAATGCCCGGACCTCCCATGCAGTAAAATCTGCCCCCTGGGTTTCCAGCAGGACAGTCATGGCTGTCTTCTCTGCAAGTGCAGAGGTAAGTGCAAACCCATGACCCTTCTTCCCCTCCCCTTCAGAACAGCCAGGGCTCAGAACCAGAGAACAGGAGGACATCATGTAAGTGAAACAGTTTCAGTGACGGTTGTCTATTCAGACACAAATGTCACTCTCTATGGGTCCATCCCTTTTCCTTCCATCTCATTGGAATAAGAGCTCAGAATAGAATTTAAAGTAAGCGTATAACGGACAAGCACATTTGACCAAACGAATGACTTCTCTGCTCTTCAATTTTACCCATCTTAGGAACGTTAGCCTAGAGCACCTTTACCTTGACCTCCATAGAGTCTGCTTCTGTCGGGCAGTGGCTTGATACAATGATGCAGCAGAGAGCCCTTTTTGGAGCCCGTGAGGGTGGGCGTGGCTAAGCAGCCTGCTTATCTATTTTCTGGTAGCACAGTTTTCCGTGAGAATTTAAACTTCTGAATCAGCAAACGCCAGCCTCGGTGTCTACATACGCACAAATCCTGGGCATGCATTTTGTCTGGGACTTCCCTGTTCGAGACGTCCCTGCAGCCCCGGGAACATGCACCCCGACTGCCATCTCTGCCCGTACCCCAGCTCCAGCCTGGCCACCCACCCCACCCAGTATGCTTTACTTGTCAACATGACCCACAGATTTAGCAGTAAAAGATCCCTCAAGTTTGTGGTGTCTTTTCAAAGTTAGGCAGTTATCACCCTTAACAGTGTCTTCAAGGGGCCAGTAAACAAAACTCTAGTCACTGCTTGGATTGTTGCACTGAACAAAAATCTGTTAGTTTCAAGAGGCCCAGGCTTTCCCCACTGGGTGATTTCTAGAGTGATTATTCCGCGTATATTAAACATGTATGTACCATTTGCTATGAAATCAGTGCTTGTTTACTGTAGAAAACATGAGGAAGTGGAGGGAAAGGGGTAGAAATCAACTGTAATCCCGTCAGTAGGAGAGAAACATATTTGCAGAGGTTTTTTTTCCTATTTTTCTTTTTTCAAAAGTGAGAGCCTATTAACTTAAATCCTTTTCATGAGCCTTTCCTGTGTCATGAACTGTCCTTTTGTACCCATGATTTTTGGTGGCTGGGTCGCATTACCTGTGAGGACACTACAGGCTATTTCTCCTGTGCAGTAGCTGCTTCTTTACCAGGCTGCCTTCTGTCTGTCCAGAGGTCCCTGCTTCAGCCGGGCCACCTGTCCTGTCAGGCACATGTCTGTCCATGGATGGCCATCATCATAAAAATGAGGAGAGCTGGCATGATGGGTGCCGGGAATGCTACTGTCACAATGGACGGGAAATGTGTGCTCTGATCACCTGCCCGGTGCCTGCCTGTGGCAACCCCACCATTCATCCGGGACAGTGCTGCCCGTCATGTTCAGGTAAAAGCTGGCTGCCATCTTGTACGCTCCCTAAGCAAATGACTTCTGCCTTGCAGGGCCTCATCACATCTGTGACTCTGGGGGACACGCAGGGGACGACCCCCTGGAGCACATTTCAGCTCTCTGTGGCTTTTGTCAGCAACAGCCACAGAATCAGCCAGGGGCTATCAATGATTTGCCGAGGACCAGAGGAAATGCCCAAATCCTAAAACGACTCTCCTCGTTTTTTGATAGTTTACTCAATGATGTGGGTCTTCGGACGGTATTTTTGTAAAGGATTGCGGAACTAGTGTACTTAGACTCTAGCTCTCCATTTTACAGATGGTGTATTAAGGCTGAGTGTTTTAGTTAATCGGAAGGGACTGATGCTAACTTTATTCCGTAAAAGCTTATTATTTATAAGGGAATATTTGAGAGGGAGAGAATTATCAAAGTCTGTGGCTGTTGCCCCTTTTTAAATTAATGGCCCTGTGGTGCTCTTGCCAAATGGAGATATTTAGAGTGACCACACATCCCAAACATTTAAAATCCTAATGATGGTAATCAAGAGAAGTTGCTAGAAGAACAGACCAGATTATATAACTCACGGGGGTCTGAATTACGGTTGTCAATAACAGTAATTATTACCATAATACCTCATCTAGTGCCTTTCATCCAAAGAGCTCAACATAGTCCTGCATTTATTATTTCTTCCTCTCTGCGGGCCACTTGAGTTAGGGAAAAATGTGCTTAGGCAGTTTTTCATTTGAAAAACAGACTCAGAAATACTAGCTCTCTTATCCAAAGTCCAATAATATGTCAGAAGGCCAGGGAGAAGTGAAGTCTCCTGATTCTTGTACCACATCTCTCTTAAAGTTGGAATGGACGGACTGTCGGATTTCAGAGTCCTCATTACTGCTCCTCTCGTCAGTGCTGTCCCACATCTCCCTGTGAACGGATCCACCTGTGCAGTGGGTGCCGTCAGGAACCTGAGACCTGTCTTTCTCCAGCAAGGCAGGCCTGGCCTGAGAGGGGAGGTGGCCTTGCCAGCCATAGCCAGGGTGAGGAGAGGGACACTTGAAGTCCCTGTTAGCTCTGAGCATCGACACCCCTCAGTAACTAAGGTATCAAAGTGACAGGCAGCCCCCATACCCCTTTAGAGGACCAGATTATCATGTTTGTTTTGTTTTCCCCATAGTGCAGTCCTGTGAGTCCCACACTGAAAGTTTACTTTTTCCCATGTTTTGCTAGTTAAATATGAAAAACCACTAGTGTCCATTGACACAGAAGATAAATGAGCAGTTTAATGAAACAACTCTGTGTTGACTCTTTGGGGAAGGAAAAATCATTTGTTGCAATGAAGACCCCATGCTTTAATTTTAGGCATGAGTGTATGGAGTGTGGACGGCACCTGGGTCTTTGCTAAACTTGTACTCAGTGAAGAAGTCTCAGCCAGACTGGTTCAAATGCAGACACGTTACTAAGAACAGATGATGGACTTAACGAACTGGAAGTCAGTGGAACCAAAATGAGTTTTCTTTGTTATAGAGATAGGGAAAACTGTCACATAAACACAGGATTATTGATGTATTATTGTGGGTGGTGAATATATATGTATAAACACACACACACACACATATATGGATATGTAGACATATTTTTTTCCAAAAACCTTTAGTGGATTACCATCTACATTCTTCTCATGAGAGACCCCAGAGCTGTTGCATTCAGGGATTCCTACATTAAACATTTTCTCTCCTCTTCCATTCAAGGATCAGCTGTTTTCCTTTCTGGGATAGGTGAGCAGCTCCTAAACTCTCCTGATAGAAGATTCACCAAATGATACTGTTTCTCAGGTGTTCTCTCTCTCTCTCTCTCTGCCTCTCGTCTCTGTCTCTCCTGTCGCTCACGTGTTTGTCATGAGGCATGGGCTATGGCAGAGAGGTGAGCAAGAGAAGACGCCTGCAAACACGCATCGCCTTCTTCTGACCACTTCCCTCCGTGTCTGCGTGTAGAAGGGCAGTAATTGGGAGGCTCTCCTAGTCGTTTTTGAAAGGAAAAGGCAGTATGGGAGCCTTTTCCAACATTAGTTCATTGCTGCTCTTTCGAACAGTTTTTGTCTTCTCGGTAAACCATCTGGTCCCAGCTCACTTTCATTATGATTTCCATCCTCTCCCCTTTGCTCAGAACTACAGAGTTTGCTCGGGTGGCTTATGCACATGAGCCCTGGCTAGTGTCCGTTCCCTGTGATGTGTCCACTCAGTCGAAGTGCCAGTCTCTACACGTTCCCTTGAGACAAAGCTGCGGGCACTGTTCCCTTCTGAGCTGGAAATCAGCCCACCCCACTGCATCTCGTCAGAGTGCTTGACTCTTGTGCTGACCACCACTTTGAACGTCACCGCAGCGGGGCTCCTCAGAGATTCCAGTTCTGAGCATGCCTGCACAGACAGGGTAGCTGTCCTGGGGCCCAGTTACGACAGAGCTCCAAGCATGAGCTGGCCTGGGTGTCTCCAGACTGCTCCTCGGCAGGGTTCACCACTGTCAACGCCTTCTTGAAACGCTTGTTGTATTTGGATTACCCAAATATGCTTAATGTCCTCATACTGCTCCTTTCCCCGGCACAGCCTCAGGGCACCTCCCAGCATCTCTGCATACAGGCTAAACATTCAGTTCCCTCTCTATCATTATCATCTCACCAAGACACCAAAATCGCCTCTCCTCGGGGGAGAGAAATCATAGTTATCATGGGTCTCTGGGCATTGACCTCTCCTGTTGATGACATCGCCAAGCAGATGTTTAGTCTCAGGTGAGGGTTTCCAGACTGTTGATTCTGAAAGAGCATTCCTGCTCAGTTTGCTCACGGCTGCTCTCGGTTGGGCTATGGCCCGCTCAACAGCCGGATGTACTTCCAAGTATCACCGTCCTCAGGATCCTAGAGATAATGAAGTGGAGGGGGCACAGATCAGTTGGAAGTCGTGTTTAATCTGGAGGCATAGCCATGAGCCAAACGAACATAGTCTTGGGTTCAGATTCCTTGTTTGCCCTTAATACTGGAACCTCTGTTCCTCATATGTAAAATAGGATCCTAGCACCTACCTCACAAGGTCTAAGGTCGGTGTAAGGAGTAAATAAGATAGAGCACTTAGCATGGAAATTGGACCACAGTCAGCATTCAGTAAGTGAGAGATTGTTATTCTAGACACTTCCGCACATTCAGAGCTGCCCTAAGAGGCCCTGTTCTCTTCTCCACAGGAAGAGTCCTCTCGAGGTAATTGAACTCCCTTATTGAATTCTGTCATTACTGTTGACAGACTGGAACCACTTGAACCTCCCTTCTTGAAACCAGCGCTTCTGCTGTTGCCTTCTGTTTCTGCGCCCGGACTATCTCTTCACTCTTGTCTTGATAGGAGTAGAGGGAGTTCCTCCACGGCCACTTTTCTGTCCCTTCGAGCAGACAACACCAGGTTCTTCCAACACTTGGTGAGGCTGCAATTGAATAATTTCTTGTGTTTTCATTTTCTGTCATTTCCCAGATGACTTTGTGGTGCAAAAGCCAGAGCTCAGCACCCCGTCCATTTGCCACGCCCCGGGAGGAGAGTACTTTGTGGAAGGAGAAACGTGGAACATCGACTCGTGTACACAGTGCACCTGCCACAGCGGGCGGGTGCTGTGCGAGACGGAGGTGTGCCCGCCGCTGCTCTGCCAGAACCCCTCACGCACCCAGGACTCCTGCTGCCCGCAGTGTACAGGTGATTGCCCCGCGCCCTGAGACGCCCCGGGTTGGGGAGGGGCGGCGGAGGCTGCCGCGCAGGCACTGTCGTTCGGCGGGACCCCCGCAGGCCACGTGGAGCCGCACAGGGCAGCGTGCCGAGCCCAGGAGCCGGCCGCCTGCTTCCTAAATATATTCCCTTCCGTCAGCCACAGATTTATGTAGTGAATATGCCTTGCACCTGAGGTGCCTTCAGGGGAGAAGAAAGATTGTCTCTTCTTCTTCCTTTTTTTTTTTTTCCTTAACTTTGTATCTCAAGAGACAGTCCTGCTGCACCAGATTATTCCAGATGATTTTGCAAAGGTGAAAAGTCGTCTTTGTCTTTCACAGATGTGAGGAGCGGTTGTTGATAAGTCATGTGAATAAAATTCTTTGAAATATATAAGGGTGGCAAAGATACTTTTGAGAATGTTAAACAGGAAATTGCTAAAATAGGAATAATATTCAACCCCTCGAACCTGGGGTGATTAATAAATTAAGATCCAAAAGTATTAATTTGACTAGCACTGCAAATGTACAGAGAGTATTGTTTTCTTTTTACTAGTCAGGTAATCTGTCCCTGGCTGGTAAACTTATGGTCATGATACATATAAGACAAAATTGTGTCAGGATTTTAAACCTCAATTCCTGATTTTGTAACTAAAGTAGCACTTGTAATTAATACCGGAATATATTCCTTTTTTCCAGAAGGTACTTTGTATATGTAACATCACCAAGTTGACAACACGACTAGTTTTATTTTGTTGTTGCTTAATCTTTGGTCTTTTCAATTTAAATCAATAACCATTTACCTTCTCAGTGTTTATCCTTAGAGTTATTTCTGCTCAGTAAAACATAAACCTTTCTGTTTCATTACTTAATTTTTTTTATCACTCTTCTATTCATTGGCAAACCCTTGTAATGTTTTTCTGTTCGGTTCCTAAGGGGAACAGACACCCCTGAACACCTGGTGTTGAGTTTATTAACTTCAGCCTGGGTGGCTCGTCCTTTCTTTATGTATAACTCGAGAGATACTTAAGTGCCGGCCTTCATCTTAAACATTAGGACTTACTGCTTTATGTATCAGTATTCCAAAGGTCACTCTTACATCTGTGAATAAGAGCATTTCTGGAATGCTCTTATTTTAAAATAAGTCACCTGCCCCATAATTGATCTTTCTGAACTTTCCATTCATAGTTGTGTTGCAGCGATTTTAAAAAGTCTTAAAATGCAAAACATTTTCTTCACAGTAAATTTCAACAGTAGCATTGATAAATGGTGTATTTCACATCTGGAAAAAGACCATCTCTAATCTTAGGATACTTGCATTCTAACGTAGTCCAGAAACGAGATATATGTGCAATTAGAAGAGTTGTGACCCTCTTGGTGATTGTTTCCCCTAAGGTGCCCTGTTATCATTCCCTCTGTCCTTCCACTTTCCCTCACCTCTGGCCTGGTTTAGTGCAAGGTCTGGAAGTGGAAATGGGTTCACGAAGAAAGATCGAGCATCCCTGTGGGTGGTGATAATTCACCAAAGTAGGAAAAGGGAGAGAATAGAATAATACTTCTTTCTTTTTAAAGATTTATTAAATCTCTTTCATTCTGTATTGTTTAGAGTTGGAAAGAGGCATAGCATAGAAGAGAGAGGGAAACAGAATAGAAATAAAAAGAATGAAGGGACACCAGTGAAGGGATGGGTAAGAACAAAACAAGAGTTAGTAGTTGGAAAAGGAAGTATAAAGAAGGGGTGCCTGGGGCAGGAAGACAATAGGAGAGGCCCAAAGAAGGAAGATACCGTGGGCAGGAATCCAGATGACCTTTTCAGCCAGGATTGGGTTCGGGGTCGCCTGCATCTCAGCTTCGGCTCCCTTCTAGCACTGACCACAAGTTCCCGTGTCCCCTGGGGCCTTCTCTAGGCCTTAACAGGAGGCCTCCAGACTCTAGGGTATTCATTTCACCTGTTTCATAGCTCCATCACTGCTGTCCCTGCTTCCTCTTCTAAATGTTTAGATGTGAGACGACACTGCTTCCAAGGGTGAAGCTGTCATAGCCCAGAGGAACCTGGTGGCAAAATTATCCCTGGACGTGGATGACCCCGAAAAGGTCACTTTGAAAGTAATCCTCTCTCACCGTCTTTAACCCATATAGATGTCATCTGTGGAACCGTGCCTAAAATTAGACCCAGAGCACATTGGGAGCAGTGGAATTAGTGTCTCTTTTCCCCTTGGGACTGCCTTTGGGACTGGCAGTAGGAAATAGGGTTCCATGATTTTGAGGAGAGGGCATGGGCCCAGCCCATTTTGCCAACTGCCCTCTGTTCCTCAGAGAGAGCCCAAAACAAAGCAGCTGCCTCGCTTCTCAGAGAGGCTCTTGTCAAATCCAATTTCGTGGCTGTCAGATGTACTCCTGAGGTGGATAGAAGGAGAATGTGACTGTTAGAGCTTCCACATCACGGGGATGACTACCTGTCTATCCCAGTTAGGTCTGTTGTGTGGCTGAAAATAGCAGACTTCATGAAATTGATTCTAAGAGGAGCATCTGATCATCATTTTGACCGTGTGGCCCTTGAGAAAATGCAGAGGTTTGCTGGGGAGGACATCATGGCTGTTTCTAAGCTCTGGAGTGGTGAAGGTGGTTGATGGTGTTTTATCAGAAGCCCGGTGACATTACTAACCTAGGGACCTCACTATCATGTTTTTCTTTGTTATATTCCAGTCAGGTTTCTGCTTGAGCGTACAGCTTTTTATGTAATTTCATTGAATGCCAAGACCCAAAGAGATCTCTGGGTTTTCTGGTAATACTCCTTTCTGTTTCAAGTTGTAACTATATCTGAGAGCACTCTGGTCAAAGTCTTTAAATAGCAAAGACACAAACAACTTGGTGGATGATTTCTAAGTAGATTTCCCATCATCTTTCAGCCTGAACATCAGGATACGACACATAGGTGTTTCAGTGGGTGCAATGAACGTTTGTTTGGGTATTGATTGGTTAGGACGGCACATAGGTACAAGTCATAGAAAACCCAGCAACAGTTTCTAAACAAATAGAAGTTTCTTTTCCATTCATTACAAGAAGTTTGGAGGCAGATGATTTGGTATCTTAGAGATATCAAGGTCCTTCTACATGTATGATAAGGATATTACAGCTTTAGGCAGCACACTCGGATTCAAGGCAGGAAGGGTCTGGGAGGAACACCACATCTGCCTTTTATCAAGAAAGTAGATGTTTTCCCAGAAACCTGCTCATTTAACCACAACCAGGTGACATGGCCACCTGGAAAAGCAGGGCACAGGATTGTTCTGACTTACACCTAATGTGATCCAAATCTTCAACCACCCACCCCTCCCTCCAGGGTTTTGTTAAGCTCCAGAGCAAGAGTAGAGTGACTGTTGTACAAACTACTTAACAGAATCTCTGTAACAGGTCTTTTGTGGTCTTTATTGTCTTGCTTTTAAAATGTAAGACCCTGCACAAATCAGGCTTGCTGTTTTGTTTCTGAGTCATTTTTACGGGAGGCACACAGAGCCCCAGTGACCGAGTGTGCTCTTTATAAGACGGAGTGAAACTCACTATGTGGCACAGTTGCTGGCCGGTAGCATCTCCTTTTCCCAGCTGACCTTACGTTCCTTTTTCCAGACGAACCTCCTCAGCCTTCCTCATCCCATAATGAGAGCGTGCCTAGTTACTGCAAAAACGACGAAGGGGATATCTTCCTGGCAGCCGAGTCCTGGAAACCTGACGTTTGCACCAGCTGTGTGTGCATGGATAGCGTCATCAGCTGTTACTCTGAGTCTTGTCCGTCGGTGGCCTGTGAAAGACCTGTTTTGAGGAAAGGCCAGTGTTGTCCCTACTGCATAGGTAAGACCAAGAAAAACAATCAGTCGTTTCTACCGGTGGCCGTTAAATCCACACTGACAGCCATTTGCCCAGATCAGTTCGTGTCTGTGACCTGTTACACGGACCCAGAGGAGGGCTATGAGGCAGCAGGGTGACGTGAAAGATGTGTTCATGAGATGCAACCTGTGAGGAATGAGGAGAGGCTCTCTCGGGGTGCCGCGATGTTCCCGAGCTGTCCTCTTCTAAGTGGGCTCCTTTGCTGTTTCAGGATTTTCAGTATTGAACCCTCTTTCTCCACCCAGTTTTTTACAGTGGTCCTTTTGTCCATATACAAACACACATTAAGGTACGCTGAGCGCATGAAGCTTGCTGCTGCCTTGAAAGCCACTAAATACGAAATACCGATTTAATGTCCCAGTAATTCCTCTTGTCTGCTGACACTTAATTGATTCCATTTCGACCATGCAGTCAGTTGTCCGTGTTGAGGGCCTAGGGACACAAAGTGAGGCAGGCCTGAGAAACCGACAGAGTCCACTCCTTCTTGTGACCCGGGGGGTATAGCCTGTCAAAGGAAGATGTCCGTATGTTTGCCCTGGACGTCTGTACTGAAGCTGGTCCTGGGGACCGAAGCCAGATGCTGCTCTGGAGTCCAGAAGGCAAGGCTCAAGACAGCTGGCTACTCTCATAAAGGCACAGTACCCACTCCCAAGGCTCTCACTCTCTTTTATTCCTTTTGTATTGAGTAAAGCTCATGAAGTCAAGTGAAAGACAATGATACATCTCAATCCAGTAGTGAACCTACAGTCAGAGTAGCAGGTAAAAAACTAGGGGGCACCTGGGTGGCTCAGTCGTTAAGCGTCTGCCTTCAGCTCAGGTCATGGTCCCGGGGTCCTGGGATCAAGCCCCGCATTGGGCTCCCTGCTCGGCAGGAAACCTGCTTCTCCCTCTCCCACTCCCCCTGCTTGTGTTCCCTCTCTCGCTGTCTCTCTCTGTCAATTAAATAAATAAAATCTTTAAAAAAGAAAAATCTTTAAAAAAAAATTAGACAAGCTATATTAATGGCAGGTATTATGCATTTACTGCTGGAGTTTTTTGCATGCTTTCTAGATACAAGTAATTACACATATTTGGGGTGATACTTGAGGAAAAGGAGAGGTCTTCAGGCCACGGTGCTTTGTAGCAATTCCTATAGATGAACTGATGAATGGCGCTTAGGTACATGTCGGCCATAACTCAAGCTTATCAAGACAGCTCCTTCTCCTTGACTGTTCGACCTCTGGCCACTAGATGGGAGATCACTTCCTCTGAGTCTTATTCTCCATGTTGGTATATAGAGAGATGGAAAGATTCTAAAAACACAGTTTCTGCTCTCAGGAATTTTACAGAGCTAAATTTTTCTCAGTGTAATGGCCAGAGAGTATTTAAATGTATGTTTGAAAGCTGAATTCTCTTCTTTTAACAGAGTGACCAACTTTGGAATTTATTCTTCAAACCATGATGCTTTTGAGAGAGAAATGGGTGCTATTAATCAGGATGGGGTAATAGCTGTATACCAGGAGTGTCCCAAGCAAATCAGGACATATGGCTGCCCTACTTTTTAGTGACCAACAATGTTGGGTTCTGCTCTAATACCCATAAGCTTCGTAGCTCCAAAGTGGAGCCAAAAAAAAGTATCAATGCATACACACATCCAACTGAGTGCTACTTCGTTTCTCAAAGAGCTGACCAGTATTTATACAGAAAATGTAACTGCCTTTGGTGAGATCTAAATAAAAGGTATAAGCTGGCCACTATTTCAGGCCAGGGGATTGGCGGAGAGGGAGATGTACAACCAGGACTACCATATTTAAATATCAGAACTTCTGTGCAGTTTATGAATCAATCAGGGGTGCTTAGATCATACTTAGAAAACCAGGGCCCAGGAGGCTGCGAATTCCACATAACCTGCAGAGGAAAAATCTGGCGGTGAATCTCTCTCATGTTGAAAATTCGTGGATTATTTTGTTTAGATTAAAAAGTTCTTGTGTTTTGCTGCTTAATCAGTAAATTTATAATTAGTAAATTATTCATCTAGTAAGTTTGTTTCTGTATGATAAATAGTAAATCCTTTTCAAAACCAATTTAACAAATGTAATCTCATGGAAAGAAACCTGCAAGTCAGTAGCCTGTGTCTTTCTTGTATTTTGTTGTTGTTTTGGGGTTTTTTGTTGGCTTGTGTTTTTGGCCTTCCTCTTTCCTATTCCAGTTCCTTCGTGATTTAGACTATACGTTCTTCTTTAGTGTGGAGAGAGAAATACCAATTCGGTCCAAATTTTTTTACTCTGACTTTAAGTTAGTTGGCAAGCACTTTCACCAAATTTTGGTTCGCCAAGCTCATACTAGTATAGCGGAAATTATGTTTCGGTTGTTACCCCCCCGCCAAACACACACACAAAGATGCAGGTATAATTGTATCATATAAATCTAAGGCTTATCTTCAGGGTAACATATTGGGGAGACTTGATATTTGATGAGTAATACTGTGTGCTGTTACTCCATCTTAGCGCTTCATATATGTTGTTTTATTTTTCAGAGTCACTGAACCCCTTCAATATACATCATATGTATTTTGCAAGTAGCCTTGTTAGATTGGCCTTCATCCTTTCTCCCCCTTATGTGCAAGCATACAAAGTCAAGTTCAGTCCATGACTGTGACATGAGGATTCCCTATCGTACTCTGCAGTTAGCTCCCTTGGCCTCTTCAGGCTCATTCTCTTATCAGCTTCCCGTCAGCCCGGCCCTCTGCAAGGGCTCCAAGCCCAGGCAGTGCCAGCAGTGGCAAAGCCTCCGTCCCCATACAGAGACCACCTAGCAAAGAAGCAGGCCATTATTTTGCCTGCCCTAAAGCACCCGATTATTTCTCCAGTAGGCCCAGAGGACCTGTGATTGCATTGTCTCCAGTTTTAGGCTCTCTTGGTTTGAAACCAGCTCTTTCTTAACCTAGATCATCTGTTCCCAGGATCATACGTGCCTCACCCCAGCCTGCAGTGCTGACCTCACCATGGCTGTGGGTCCCTGAATGAATATTCTCCCTAATTAGATCTCTCAAATACAGATTTCTAAAAACCTCAAACCAGCCTTTAATCTGACTTCTTTTTTTAGTGATAAAACCCCTAAACAAAAGCATGCTTCTTTCACCTTGTGAAGTATCCTTTTTTCTTACCATAAGAGAATTGAAAAGTGGTGATCCTATGAAAAGTAGTATAATTATGAATATTTGTATTCCTTTCAGCTAAATTATCAAGTCACTAATGTGCCATGATAATGCTTTTCTCTTGATGTGTGAAGGCCTCATATTATGTGTGCTAATTTAATAGAATGTGTAATACAGACATAATTAATAGGATTGATGATTAATTTTGAAAAGTGAACAGCTTTGTCTCATTAGTTATAATACCCCTCATTTGGGAATTCATCCTTGTACTAGAAAGAAACTAAGTAGTAATTACCCAATCATTCTAATGGAACACTTTCTGATTCCCTAATTTTTTATATTCTAGTTTTCTAAGCAAATACAAATTTAGATTTTATTTTCATAGGCTTTTTGACTGTACTGATGGCTTAAAGAATGGGGAGCCAGAATCAAAAGATGACGAGCACATAAGTCAGGTGAAGGTAAAAGGTCTGGTGGGAATTCTAATGTGTGATGGCAGATTGGATATGTGGTTCCTTGTAAACAGCAGGTGCCTTCAGTGTGACACACTTCACTGTGCACAATAGTGCCATAGCCTTCTCACTGACTACATCCTACATGCCTTCCTAGAACCTTTCTAGAGCAAAAATGATTTCAGTGAGGTCTTTATTCCATCACTCCCAGATGACAGTAAATAATTCAGCCAGCAACCCTTACCTAGTAAGGGCCTATGGGGATGCTGGCCCTGACCACGTCACCCTTGCTCTGATGTCTTTGTTGGTGATGCTTCTGCCAAGGACCAGATTCTAGCAGCTTCTCTGAGGGGCACCACTATCAGCATCCCAGTGGACCTTCACTTTGTCCAGAGGCTTAGTCATTCCTGGACAAATATTATAAAGAAAGAGCATTACATTGATCATAAAGACCTTTCTTAATTTAGCTTATGGGGTCCTCAAGCCCGTATTGCTGCTGCCTTATACCTGCTGTTGACTTTGGAAATGAAGATGCTCAGGTGTGCCTGATGATCGAGCCAGTCTAATTGAACAGGATTGGTCCTGAGTAAGCAATTCCTGTGTCGGCCAAGTCCTGTTAGTGCATAGAATATTGTTTTGAAACTTGGAATTTGGCAAGTATTTATTTATTTGCAACCGTTAGTGTGTTATTTTAGAAAATATTTGAGGTCAGATATTTAAAGTCCTATTTGTTGGCTGGAAATCTCTGAGTCAGTGCATCTTTCTCACTTAAAAAACTTTTGCCAAAGGTGAGTTCTTTTTGGATCCTAGTCAGTTGTTTGTGTCTGTCTGTGTGTGTTTATATATGAGAGATACGAAATGATGTACTTACATGTTATGAAAGTATATATATACAGGTTATAAAATCCGTATGTATGATGTGAACAAAGTTAAGATACTCTCATTACATGCCTCTCAGTTCAGTATCTTTTAAGTGTCTTTAAGTATCCCTATCTTCAAGGGTCTCTGAAAATGAGTTCTGTTATGGGTAGCACCTGATCATACATCTTTCTGATTAGAGGTTAGCTATTTTTTATATTTATTATATATATCTTAATATTTAAGGTAGAGCTTTCATGTGGAGTCAGGCTGGCTTGGCATACTCCGTTGGTTGTGATAGTACGATTCTGTTTCCTCTCTTTTGTGATCTTCAGCTAGAAAATGATCAGTAATTAATGTCCTTAGGAGGGCGGTATCTACAATTTCTGTCAAGTCAGTCTATTATACATCATTCATTTTTGTTTAGATGTATGTGTATGATTATGCTAATTCGTTTAGATATATTTTCTTAGAGATTACAAATATAAATAGTATCTCTGTGGAACATCTGTTGATCA